TAACAAAGCTAGGAATGACAGCCCTGGAAGATGCAGCCACTGTTGTGGACAAACCCATTCCCCTGCTTTTAAGCTGGCCATACACTATGGACATTTCGGACGGTTCATAGAAATTTGCACAGTGGGTGCCCCTATGTCTTATAGCTATCTGCCACTTAATTATGATTTTAATAAATGCACATAATGGGGAGGAGAATAATGAGGAAAATTATATCAGATTAGATTTTTTTATCCAGTGAGTTTGAGATAAGTGACAGGTTCACTTACAGGTTAGTTTCTCTAGTCGAAAGCGACAGCAGTTTCTACACTGTTAGATTCAAACAGCTACTCAATACTTATGTAATAAAAAGACATGAACAATCATTTGGAGAAGAGTTTTCTCCTCAGTAAAAATCTTGTCGTGACTATATTTTGTGAAACTTCTGTCAAAAAGCCACTTATAAGCAGTAAGTATACTTAATGCAGTCACTGCATAATTAGGTTGTTACAGTCAACCGGAGGACACAGCGCGGATCGTGGACAAGGTAAAACCTGTACGCTGTATTCCCGAGTGTGGATCGGGGTTAACAAAGCGGTACCAATACCAATGGAAACGCGTGGAAAAACGCCCCAAAGAAGCTCCTGTACTTCTTTGGGCGTAGGGCGTTTTTCAGCGCGTTCCTACACACTGAAATACGTCCAGGTGGGAACCATGCCCATAGGAAAGTATGGGATTTCACTTGCTGGGCGTTTTACAGCGCGTCAATCAGCGCTGTAAAACGCCCAGGTGTGAACCAGGCCTTAAGGTGCTTGTGTTGTAATTTCAAAGATAAGGGTAAAGTTCCTCTTTAAGCATGGAGACCATGCCTTTTTAAATTGGGCCTCTTATATGTAAGAATTTAAAGCTAGAGCAGCAGGAAAGTGTGAAAGTTTTCAAACTAGTGTTGAAGAAGTGGCAGATAAGAATAGAGGTAAGTTTCCAGAAGGGAATATTTTTCATACAATTTCCTGGACAAATATGAAAAATGTTATTTCCATTGAAACATAAATACTCTTCCAGATCCAGGTGGAAGAGAATAGGAATTATAGGCTACTAGGAAAAAAAAGTTACTTATATGGAGGGTCAGTATGAAAGAGTGAGATTGAAAGGTGAAGGTTTTGTTGCATTGCCTTCAAAGCTCAAGCTTAAACATTATTGAATTCAGGGAACTTTACAACAATGCTTTAATAACACTAGGTAGTTTAACAAAGCTAGGAATGACAGCCCTGGAAGATGCAGCCACTGTTGTGGACAAACCCATTCCCCTGCTTTTAAGCTGGCCATACACTATGGACATTTCGGACGGTTCATAGAAATTTGCACAGTGGGTGCCCCTATGTCTTATAGCTATCTGCCACTTAATTATGATTTTAATAAATGCACATAATGGGGAGGAGAATAATGAGGAAAATTATATCAGATTAGATTTTTTTATCCAGTGAGTTTGAGATAAGTGACAGGTTCACTTACAGGTTAGTTTCTCTAGTCGAAAGCGACAGCAGTTTCTACACTGTTAGATTCAAACAGCTACTCAATACTTATGTAATAAAAAGACATGAACAATCATTTGGAGAAGAGTTTTCTCCTCAGTAAAAATCTTGTCGTGACTATATTTTGTGAAACTTCTGTCAAAAAGCCACTTATAAGCAGTAAGTATACTTAATGCAGTCACTGCATAATTAGGTTGTTACAGTCATTAAATAATACAACTGGGGGAACTGGGTTTAGTAATTTAAAGATAAGATGAAAAAATCAATACAGATCATTATTGGATACAGCAGTTGAATCAATAACACATGCACCAGGAAGATTCCTTGGAAGAATATTTGGTGAATGCCACATTCACCGCTTTATTAATACGCACCTAAAGGTGGCCATACAGTGTACGATTTTCTTTGCTTCTGGCACAAACCCTCGTTTTAACCCTCAATTATACCTAGACTTCCCTATCAAGCATAGTCAAATGTCGATTTCGGAAATCGTTCGTTAGCCATACTAACCAACCAATTTTTGACGAACGAGGGAAATAATTTCCTTTTGCACATCTGCTGTGTGCTTGCAGAGATTTTTTACCAATGAAAACCCCATTGATTCATCCCTTTTCGTTCATTTAGAATACAATTTTCCAACCTGACCAAATGAAAAACTTTGATCACAACATCAAAACCAAAAATCGGTTATGTACCATCAACTGTTTTATTTTCGTTTCCGGCAAGAGCAAATGCTAACCCAATTCAGTAAGTTTATGGTGATACATGACAGACGGAAGAGCGGAATAATGTCCTATATGTCCTTCCCCTACCTCTGTGGATGAAGTTTGGTGCATCTGGCTGGATTAGTCAAAAATATGGTTCAGGATATCTGAATATCTGGTTTACTTCACACTGTGAGTAAATAGCAGGTCAGTGTGATATTTAAATCTAGTGTTGAAAAAGCAGGGAATTTGTGGTGCCTTATTGGTACATTGAGGAGTAAATACCTGAACACTTGGGAACAGGTAAGTATACCCTTTTGGTCAGTATGTGGAAGACTATTCGACCTGCTACTTGATGTTACTATCTGGTAAATGATAAATGAATTGTAGTATGGCTATCAGGAACTCATATGACCGATACAATTGGCTTTTTATGATCAGCAGTATTTATACTATAATACAAATGTTACATTGAACCGTATTGGATAAATTAAGTATATGTAGTGTGTACTCTGCTCACATTTGTAGGCAGATAGGTTGTGAATATCATAGTGTATTAAATAGTTAACAAGTGTTATATAATTGTAAGTGGTTTTATGTCATTAAGGTGTATTGGTGGTACTAGATAGTAACACTCCCTCTATTGAGATTTGATCTGTCAAGTTCGTTTCCAGTGAGCCTATAATGAACTATGTACATTATTACCTTGGGAACCAGTAGTGTGCCTTGAACTTCACTATTCTCTTTTACTTTTTGTCTAATTATTTTTTTTTAAGCAGGCACTCATGAGAGTCAAGTGAGTCTGAATCCAACAATACTGTATATATATATATAATTTTTGACCCATTTCTTTTCTGTGTTTTTTACTTTATCTGCGTTTACTTCCCTTACTTTTCTTTTTTCTTGCTCTACATAGTCTTTATCACATTGCCTGTGGCACATACAGCATCATTAATAGTTTGACACAATCTATTCTTGTAGTTACATCTATTTTTTTGGGACATTTGACTATTTAGACCATTAAGGTGAGCCTAGGCATGATGTTTTAAAACTAGATTACTATGCAGTGAAAACAGATTTTGCATAGCTGTGATCTGATGTCATTCTTGGAGGAAGCAGAATAAGATTCACCATCAGCAACAGTGCTGTCAAATGGTTTGACACTCACAAGAGGCTAATGGCTATAGGAGAACTGACTGGCAGGAATCCCTAGAGACAAAGAAGACAGGCAGATCTTGAGGGTTACCTGGAAACAGAACAATGGCCAGGACTTGAGGTAACCCTTGAAGAAGACTGATGGGAAGGAATTGCCAGTGCCATTGACCTGGAAGATATACTGTGGCTGCACCTGGTATAGGCCCTGGAAAAAAGACGGATATTTTGCGGCAGATGGAGGACCTGGAAGAGGAGTTCTGTTTTAAGCATGAGGGAATACTGAAATGAAAAGAGTGGCTGATTCTACTGGTTATAGATCCTTGCTTGCCAGAATTTACAGTCTAGTATCTGCCCCTAGATCTTCTTTATCAACACACCTATCTCCTCTGTTTATTTGACTTGTTTCGGCGGGGCATGGTAACTGTACATCAAAGGTCAAACTTCATACTCCAGGAACATTCTCTTCTCCTTTTATTGCTTAGCTTTGCTTACATTTTGCGATCGTGAGTGGGAACAGCCCACAAAACCATAGCAAAAACAGAGGAAATGCATGCTTTTGCTTCATTTTGGGAGGTGAGAATTTTACGGAATCAGGCAAAATACACAAATGTGAAGTTGAGTGATAGTCATTTTGCAATGCAAATAATTGTATTTTTCCTTATATGGTAGATGTTGTAAAGAAGGAGGGTAAGAAAGAAAAGTGCTGTGCTTATGTCTGATTAGTTGGGCCACAGGTTTTAATAGACTTGTTCTCCCAGGGAGCCTAAAGGACCATCCAACCAATCAACAATTGCCATGTATGCCTGCATTGCCTGAATGCAACCTTTCTGGGTAGTCTTTTATCCTCAGAGTTCATAATTTACTTAATTACCTGGAGTATCCATTAATTCTTATTAGAAATATAGTGAGTTAAACAACATTGCACAGTATCAATTATAAGTGAGGAAAGTGATGATTTATGTGCCAGCTGGGAAGTTGGGAATTATTAAAGCTTGTTGCCCACCCAAAACTGAATTATAGTTCTCCTAGCTAAATCTATTTACCAACTGTTAAAGCACAGATCCTAATTTTGTGTTTATTTCAAGTAAATTATAATTTGAAGCCCATTTCCACCTTTACAGAGGTATTTAAAAAAAAAAAAAAAAAGCATATGCCAGCAATGTACACTGAGTGTACATGAAGCAGGCATATGCAGTTCCTTTATATGAACCAAGAAACTTACTTTTTTTTTTTAGCTTTCCTCTTCATATCATCATGGAAATGGCCACCTCTCTGTTGCAAGTAATGTGTGTATATTACAACTTAGCTCTTTCTCTCTCCTCATTTATTTTTATTTATAGTAATCACAGGGAGAGGGACAGTTGTTTACAGCCTGCTTTACAATCTGACCCGTGTCAGACTGAATTTCCTGTGGAGAAAATTTAGAATTGCTAAAATTCAGGCCTAATAAAAAGTTCATTAAAGAAAATGAAGAAAGCCTGCAATGTGAGTCATGAAAATGTGCACACATATACATCATCACTGCACCTCTTCCTTACCACAATACATGCTACTCACTTACAGGTGGAAATGAACTTTAAGTACTTCATCATGCCCTACTAAATTTACCATTTGCATTTTTATTTTCTGCAGTACCAATGGATTTGCAAAACCAGAACTAGGAGAATTTACTGTTTTGCATTCACTAACCGGTTGGCTTCCAGAGGTCATACCTCTTCAGTAAGTATTTACAGTGCACCTATCATTAAACTGCACACTTCAGAAGTAGGTTATGACTTTGTGCACTACTGCTTCAGATACTCTTCCTGTTGGGTTATTATTGTTTTGGGTTACACGTGTAGCTAAGCCACTATATCATGAGGCCTGACTTCATGGCAAACCTCTGCAATCTAACACCCACCTATCCAATGAGATTGCTTTTTCTGACCTCTGAGGTCAGTACAGTCGACTAACAGCAACCCTCCTGACAGCTCGGAAACCACCCTCTGCCTCCTGCTTGGCTGGCTGACAGCTAGGCCCTTTGCTCCCGGCCACCTCAGGTGGTGAAAAAGGTAGGGAAGGCCTTGCATGTGATGATGTTGTAGATTACTTGCAGCCAAAGTGTAAGCTGAGTAGTTTGGTAAAGAATGTAGAAAGTGGATATAATGTATATTGCATTGTATTGTGTGCGGTGGTCCACAGCATGTATAGCAACACGTGGCCGTCCAGATTATGTAATGTACAAAGAAGCACAAGGTGTGTGGTGATTCAGAGTATGTAAAATACAATGCATCATATGAAGTGTGGTGGGCCAGAGTATGTAATGTACATTGCAGCTTATGGAGTGTGGAGGTCCAGCGTATCTAATGGACAGCGCAATGTATGGAGCATGTCAGTTCAGAGTATTTAACATACAGCATATGAGATGTATTGTCCAGGCTAGAGTATGCAGTGTTTAATGCAGTGTACCTACTTACTTCAGCCCCTAGCTAACTCAGGCTACACGGTTTAATTTCTGTATTTGTTTGAATGATCACATTAAACTTGAACTGTCCACAAAAAGTTAAGATTTGCTGTTATAGTAAAAAATTATGTTATGCTAACTGTACTCTGAAACGTGTCTGGAATTCCTCCAAAAAAATCACAGTGCTCTTCCTGATATGTGAGGGTGCCTAGACACATTGAGGGGGATTTATCAAAACCGGTAGCAGACAAAAACTGGAGCAGTTGTGCATAGCAACCAACCGGCTTCTCTTTTTAATTTTCAAATCTTAACTGAACAAACTGAAGAGAGAAGCCGAATGGTTGTCATGCACAGCTGCTCCAGTTTTTGTCTGCTCCAGTTTTGATAAATTCCCCTCATTTTGTGCCTACAGCTGTATAGCTGCATATCTGCAGTGTTAGATTAGGGCCCTGCTGCCTTTGATTGATGTTGTTGTTGGAGGCTCTGACATGAGGAAGCAAAGCCCTGTCTATACCAAGATGGCCACCTCCACACAGATGTACAGTGTAGGATAAGGCATTGTAAATCAGTTATGGGGAAAGCTGGAACGATCAGCTCCAGGGACACCACAGAGAATATTGGTGAATAAGGATAGGGGCCGCACAGCTTCCAGTGTTCAGTTCCTCTTTAAAAATCTAAATCTCCGAGGTTGAAATAACTATTCTTTTTTTTTTTTTTAGAGATGATTTTCTCAATGATGTCTGGGATTTTTTTAAAAGAATAGTTCCTGAATTTACACTACCTGCTGATGAACCTCCGGAATCCAAACCTGCTGTGACTGAAGAAAAAATGAAAGACAGCAAACTAGCAGAGGCTAAACCTGAGATATCCATACCTGTCATTGTAAAGCCACCTGAAAAACCCAATAAAGGTCAATTGATTTAAATATTTCACACTAAACTAAGTTCAGAGAAGATGGATGGGAGAAGACTACATGTAGAATATCCCTCTCTTCTTGTAGTGATGCAATTTATGGGCCTGCATCAACAGGCTTTTGTTGGAATTCAAAATCCACTTGAAGCAGATCCAATGCAGGTCATAAGGAGGTCAACTGCAGGTGAAATGCATCGGTCAGTGAATTCTGAATGATCTCAGAAGCATCTCAAACTGATGCAATTGACAGAAGCCCAAAAGTCTTCGATTCAGGGCCAAAAGGAGGTTACTACTTTGATCCTTTGATTTCTACAATACCTATAATTGCCTGGTAGGAAGTCCATAGTATAGTGTTGTCAGTAAAGGCAGCCTCCATGTTTCTCACATAAAAGGTTTACTTTAAAGTGAACCTGGGGCTAGACTATGAACATTCAAATATTTCCTTATTCTTAACAAATGGTAAAGACCCATTCACATCAATCAAGTCTATAACGGAGCAGTAAACACATGTTATGTTGCATTAACACAGCCAAGTAATTTGAATTAGCTGTCTAACGCACCACAGCAGAACAAAAATCAGACCTACAAACATCAGTCCAGAGACTGAGGCTGATTTACCAAAGAACTTGAGAATCTTCACTGCAAAAATTGTGTAAATATTCACTTTAATTATTCAATCATGAGAAAAGCATCTGCACATGTTAAGGCTAGTTCACACCAGCCACAATTCGCCTCGGCCCGATTCTGGTTGTAACTTATTGGATCACAATTTGGCCAGCTCACTTTGTTGTGGGGCGGGAAGGGGCGTGGTGGTGCATTGAAGTAAATGGTACCGCAGTCCCGCCCTCCGGCCGCAATGCGATTGACCGCACGGGAAAGGTGGCACATCAATGCCTGCATGCCGGTCCGGTCAGAAAAAATAGTGCTTGCAGCATTTTTTCTGACCGGACCGCAGGCATTGATGTGCCTTGCGTTCCCGTGCGGTCAATCGCATTGCGGCCCGAGGGCTTGGCTACGGTGCCATTCAGTTCAATGCACTGGCCGCCCCACAACAAAGTGAGACGGCCGCAATGCGATCCAGTGCATTCTGGCCAGGATCGGGCCGGAACACACTGTGGCTGATGTGAACAAGCCATTTAAAGTGATCAGGATTTGCTCTTCATATTGGATAAATTAAGTAGATATTCACACAATTATTTGAGTGAAGATTTACCGCTTCATTAGTAAATCAGTCTGAATGTACTTGAACTGGTGTGAAATTGCCACTGCAATAAATAATCAGTTGTAAGGCAGCACAGCAGAGGCTTGTCCATTTTTTTACTTTGGTAATAGAGCCTCTTGATGTGTGTGTTTACTAATATTGTCAAGTAATAGCTATTATCTCTGCAAACCCACTTTTATAATGTGTTACAGTACATCATGTAAAAGCACTATACATTATGCATGCACATTGTAATACAAATATGAAATGCCTAACATCTCTCACGGTAATTGTGCTTTCTATTTTTATGTGCTCCATAATAATTTTACCTTGTTTATGTGCTGTTTTTTCCATTTTTCTTTCTGGCTACTATTCTATTTTATTTTACAGAGAAGTCGGACTCAAAGGACACTGGGAAAAAGAAAGGAGAGGAAGAAAAAACAAGGTCAGCTGCTCATTCTGCACGACCTCCATCAGAGTCATTAAACACGCTGCAAGATTGTAAGTCATGGACCAGAGTCATCATTTAATCCATATGTTTATGGAAGCTGTTAAGCCAAGCCATTGGACATTATCACTGTGTATTCTCTATCCTCTTGTTGTTCAGTTACCATATGGCATGTTTTTGTACATTTGCTGTGTGGTGGATATGCAGCGACTGTAATTTCTTTATTTTATTAACTGGGACCATACATTTAGATCAAGCCACACAGATGATATACAATACATACATTCAATCTCACCACCAGTAGAATGTCCAGGTCTGCTTTTGGTACAATCATCTTTCAGGGTATGTACACCTTTTCAAAGTAGTAGGACACCATTCAAATAGTAGCCAGTTGCAGCAAATATGGCACATGGTAACCACATATTGTAGTGTGCATATCTTAACTCATTTGTCATTATTATATTTATCTTATAGTTAAAATGGAACGTTTGCTTTATATTATATTGTCTTTAAAGTGGACCTTACCCCCTTCCACTAAAAATCACACCAGCATGCAGCTCGGCATGCTGATATGAAATCATCTTACATTCATTAGTTAAACAAACATATTTTGCTTTAACTTACAGTTAATGTGTTTCCACTTCCTTGTCCACTTGGGCATTAGTGATGTAATGTGCCCAAGTGTTGCATCCTGGGGAGCTTACATCAGCAGAGCATTGCTGGGAAATCTCATCTGAAATCTTAGGAAGTCTTAGGGAAAGGCATTTTACTCCCCTGAGATGATGTGCCTGGTCACAAGTTCTAGTTACATGTGCCAGAGTTCCAGGAAGTAAAGGGAGATATATTAATCTGCCCTTTACTTCCTGGTATAAAAGTAAAGTAATAAAAAATAAAGTAATAAAAAGCCTACAATTATCTAGAAGTATCTGTGTGGAGATTGGTATCACTAAACATTTCTAAAGGTGTATTTGTTGTCATTTTAAAGACATGGGTAAATTCGAGCCATGTAAGGCTATCTTATTCAGTGTCCAGCCATAGCTGTTTGCATAAAACATTTGGGCCAAATAGTAGTCAATATGTCAGACTCATTGAATACAGAAATACACATGCTTTTGCATCCAATGGCTGGGATGCCTTCAGCAGAAATCAGATACACCTGTCAAGTGACCATTTTTTTTAGGCTTGTATAGACCCAGCCTCTGCTAAAAATTCCTTGCAATGCTAGTGACTGCTGACTCTTTACTGAAGCCAGAACAGTACAAGATGAACTCTGACTAGTTTATATAAATTTCACACTATGCAGGTGGCACTTTGTTCCAGGCAATGCTCAGTGTTTTGGTGTTGCATGAACTCACCATCTCTTTAACTTTGGAAGTTGCCTTCTTTTAAAGCAATCCCCTGTCAACAAAGCTTAGACCGGAGGGAAGTGGGAGGAGCAGCACAAGGAGCCAATCAGTTGTGCTGCAGTGCAATAAGCATGCTGATTGGAGATTGCACAGTGACAGCGAGAGTAGAAGTCTTCTCCTTTCACTCTCCAGTCACAAGGTGGGGGTTGGGGGAAGTGCAGCAGTGAAAAATCAGGTATTTTCCCCTCCCAAACAGAGCTGTGTGGTGTGGCAAAACTGTGTTTGATGTAGCAAATGGACAGAAATACAAATCTTTTTGTGGACAAAACAGCTCCTTTATATGTATTTTTTCATCTGAAAATTGAACTGTTTGTCTGTTGTTCAGCTCTAAACTCTGTTAAGCTCTGATTTGCTCTTCTTATAGATAGGCACCTAAAACTGTATAGCATATTCCAGATTCTAGCAGGAAAAGGCTGTAATGATGTGTTAATAAAAGACAGAATCACAACTGATAACACAGTATGTAGACCATTACATTGCACTAGTTAATAATGAGCAGACATCGGTTACAAAATCAGGATCCAAAAATAGGTGTCCTTACACCCATACAGTTTAAGAGTGTATGAGCTGTGTGGGCTGTGATTAAATGCCAGGTCGAGTTGAAGGACTATAAGTGGAAATAAGTAATAGCTGACAAACAAGTATTTAGTATATTTCAAATTGTTTTCACAAATTGTCTGATTTATACTGATTATTGATGTAAGTTTGCATATTATTTGAAGCCATCATACCATCTGGAGCTGTGATTGCCTACATTTAAGTACTTACAATGAAACTGCAGTAAGTGCTTCTGTAGCATATTCTGGCATGACATTGCAATTCCAGCAGACCTATTTGTTTGCAGTGTCCTATTATGAAACTAAAAGGACATTTCCTTTTTATAAGAGTCCAAATCAACAGCTGTGCTTTATATGAAATCAGTTGGTTTTAGAAGAAGGGCTGCTACTGTATAATGAGCCAGCTGTATGGCTCTATGTTGTAGTTGTTTACTTGATTTGCGACTGTGATAAATTACAGTAGCTTGATTTTTGGAGAAAGGACTTTAATCGGGGCACATCAGGAAGTCTACAAAGTTTTAGATGTTTTAAAAAGCAAGAACATTTTTTCAGTGATTTAGGTTAAAAAGTATATTGTTCAAGTATATTGTATGTTCAAGCAGCAGCTACCGAGAACAGCATGTTGCATTGGTGGGTAAAAGACAATGCATCCAAAGCTGCTAATGGAGGAACCAATGTTCCTTTCCTTTTTAACGCAAACCTATAGGATACAAACATTTTATAAACTAAAATGATTCCTGTATAGCAGGCGCCATTTGTCAAACAAATCAACTTTCTTTAATAAAGAGGTAAGCAGAAACTTCGACAAAGGTGTGGCTTTGGATGTAGTATATTTGGACTTTGCTAAAGGGTGAAGAGTTTGGAGAAGGCAGGAGAAGTGAACAGTCTAGGCCAACATAGCCGATTTGGAAAAATTCTCCAATTCAGCTCACTTTCTTGTTCAGCTCTTTTGGCATGGCTTGCTCACTTCTGCTTTCTCCAAACTCTTCACCCTTTAGTGAATAGACCCCATAGACTCTAGAGAGAAAGTCACACAATCTTGCCCTAATGACAAAAGAATTATTAGACCTTACTAAACATATGCAGCTTAGTTTTGGCCACCAGTTTACAAAAAGAATTTAATAAGCCTGGAAAAAGTGCAGAAAAGGGCAACTAAATGAAAAAGTGGCATGGAGGACATCAGCAATGAGGGAAAATTATCTGAGCTAAATTTTTTATCTCTTGAAAAAAGGTGATTAAAGCGGAAATAAGATCTGCTTGTATAAATACATAAATGGTCCATGTGGTAAATTTGGTGAAAAGCTTTTTACCTTAGGGATAAATACCCTTTAAGACAAAGTGCACCTATCCTTTTTGGCCCTTTGTGCTGACCTAATCGATCCCACCACCCCCTTTACAGATGCATACTTACCCGACTCAGATTGCTTTTACTAAGCAGGGATAAAAGTTCGGGCCACGTTGACCAAATAAATTATGATAGATACTGTGTATGTTTTTTAAAGGAAAAAAATTGTGATGTAGGAGAAAGAATGCAGGAGTGTTGGGGATTGGGAGGTCAGTGCAATATGGAATGATATATTTGTCTCCAACTGTTGCAAGAGTGGTGTCAAATGGTAACTTCGAATGCGTAGACCAGGATAAGCAGGTCACAAAATGTTGTGCTCTGAACCTGCCTCTTATTCCTGTTATAGTGAAAGCATTGGCAAAGTGCCTGGGAATGCTGGGTTTCCAATTATTAAAAATAACAGGCTACCCCTCCACTGCAAGGGTTAACTGCTCGTTTTGTTCTAGGGAGGAAAATAAAGCTATACTCACCCGATCCAAAGCTGCAACGATTGGATGTCCCTCAGAGTTCTCACTTCCAATACACTGTATAGAACATGATGATTTACGGGACCTTAGACCACTGGAGTGGAGGGAAACAGAGGCTCAAGTGACCGGTCTAAGAGTAGGCCAGCTTAGAGGATCAGGTGAGTATAGGTTTTTTATTTTCCTCCCTAGACAAAAACGAGCACTTTAACCCTTGCAGTGCGGGGGTAGCCCCACTGAAAGAGTTAATAAGAATTTTCCCTTGAGTTCTTCTTTAAGCTACTTGAATGCATTTTTAAGATTGAACTCCTGACTGTGTCACCTGTATTGAGGAGGAGTACCTTTCCATACAGACAATTGTTTCAGTTGACTGACAGTATGCCTGTCAGTCATATGGAAACATGCCTGTCCTTATACCAGCTGTGATGTAGAGGTTACGATTACATCAGCTTAGCTCTACAGTTTCATGTAGCAAGAATTGGCAAAATTGCTGAAGAAGCCCCACTCTCTGGGGGGAAACGCATCAGGGATAGCATGGCTGGAGCTTCCCTGTACAGCTATTTTAATTATCCGCCGAACCAGAGGCTTATGGCTGGCATAGCAAAACAACCCCACTGAGCGGATAAAGCTTGGCGGCTTGAACCTTGATGAGTTAGGATCGACAGTATTGCCCATTCTAAGGATACCTCCGTATTATAAGTCGGCACGGCCCCACAACTTGGAGACACATTCGGTGTGGGCTTATGTGTATGACCCTTTGCATCTATTTCATACACCTTTGAGGAACCGACGGGGCTCCACTTAATCAGCTGCATACTTGGCCGTACAACTTGGAGACATACTCGGTGTGGGTTTATATGTATGACCCCTTGCATCTATCTTATACACCTTTGAGGACCCGACGGGGCTCCACTTAATCAGCTGCATACTTGGGAAAGTTCCCCCTGAACTGTCATCACCACACTAAAATTCATCGTACTTTGTCCTCCACGATCCAGGGAGGCTTAATCTGCAAACTGGCTGTGGAACCCGTCAGGATTGCTACGGAAATAACATCATAAAGAGTGACTGTTTCTTTTCTATATAGGATACAATAACATTAGATACTTTCTAGTATCCGATACACTCATCATTGCCCGCCTGCCACCCACGGAGGGTAACTATAACAAATGTTTGCCACCATATATTGATGCATACTAAGATGCTACAGTGAAGTCTCTCAAAAGTTTTTAAGGTTTTAAATGTCCGTTCTGTGTGATTTATATGTTTATACTTTTTCTATTCAATTAAAATATGGTTGATAAATATTTGCATGTTAATATATCATTAATTTAATCAGCTCCTATTTGGGATTTCCCTGTTGCTAAAGGGAACCAATTTTCTAATATAAGGTTGATGGAAACCCTGGAGCTGTTAATACTCTATTTAACACTGTGAGCAACCCCCTTCCCTAGTATATACAAAATTGGAACTCCCTTGAATTTTATCTACAAATGATTTAATATACAGTTAAATGTAAGTGTTTAAAAGATGTAGAACGTTCACTTTTAGTGTGCAGGCTTTATTAACCTCTTGCCGTCCGCCCGTAGTAAAAAAACGGACGACCACCCAGCTTAAGAATCATAGTCCAGTCAAATTATTCTCTCCATAGGGATCATTGAAGCTCACAAAACACTTCTGGGGAAGCAGTTTAAATTTATGTTTAAATGATAGTGCCTAACACGCTCAGTCAGAGCTGGAGCATATTCTCAAAGCACATAAAAGTGAAGTCTTGCCAAGCATCACCTAGACCTAGAGAAAGGCCAAATATCAGCAATGATAAACACCCTGCACTTTGGGAAACAATGTCCAGATTTTATAAATGGGCTTCTATTGGACTTTACAGGTTTACAATAATATGCAAGAAAGAGATGTACCCATTTCCAATTATATCTTAAAGAAGAGCTCCAGGTTTTTCAAATTGACCCTTGCAGTGGGGCTACCCCCACTCTGCAAGAGATAAGTGCTCATTTTGGTCTGGGGAGAAAATAAAGATAAACTCACCCAGTCCTCAGTCCTGCGGCAGTGGCCGCTCACCTCTCTCCCTCTCCACTCCAGCTGTCTTATATCCCTCAGTGCCCTCGCGTTTAATGGACCTGTGTTAGACATGATGACATCACAGGTCCTTAGACTGCCGAAAACGCGGGGGGAGAAGAGGTTGTGGGGGACCGGTCTAGCAGCCAGGTGGGACAAAGGCAAGGTGAGTGTATCTTCTTAATTTTTATCCCTAGTCCAAAACTAGCACTTTAAACCTTGCTGTGCCCGGTAGTCCCACTGCAAGGGTTCATAAAAAAAAAAAAATCCTGCAGTGCTTCTTTAAAACCGAACTTCAGGCAGATTTTAAAACAAAAGTAATTATGTGTATTCATAGAGCCAGCTTACATATTCAAATCTGTACAGATATCCGTCTTCTCTAATTACACTCATTGGGAAAGGAAAGAGTAGCAATTTGAGCTTTTAAGAACTCTTGTACCCTTCTCAGTCAACAGTTTGAACATGTTTACAGGAGGGGAGAGAAAAGTGATGGGCTTATTAGTGTGTTGCTTTGGTGTTTAATCAACAAGGCAGGTTGGTGAGTGAACTGTACTTCTTACAAACTGTAAAGAAAAGTGAGATCACAAACATTGAAAGTGATTTGTTCAGCATTTGAAATAGCTTAAAAACCTTTTCACTTTAATATCTCTTTCCTGCAGGCCTGAAAGCCAGGCCGTTCTTAACCAGGAAAGGTTTGCAAGCTCCCTCTGGCACTCACCTGTTGGCCATGAGGCAACCAATCATTGTGATAGGCCAAAAAAGATTTATGAGGAATTTGGTCAGCTCTGGCACTACCTGAAAGTCAGGCATGCAGGAAGCAGTTACAGTTTCTGCCAAGTATTGTCCAGCACCTCCCGGTGCCTGAACTTTAACTTGCTTTTTTCAAGTGACAGGGTCCCTTTAATATTTTAATCCTTTGAGACAAGCAGGAAGGAGAAGATCCCATAATGTCACCTTTCCAGCTAGAACACTTTAGAAAAAAGGTATGTGTAGGGTTTTGATTTATTACAAAGAACTAAGGGGGGCTTCTGGGATGGGGTTCTGGTGTGGGTTTTATTTATAGATGGAGTTCCACTTTACATTGTTTGCATTGAATGGTGCCTAATTGTGGTTCTGCTTATTTGGTAATAAGGCTCAATATACAATTTAGTAATAAATGTTACCTCCAGTGTACTTACCATGCAGTCCAAAGAAGATGGGAGTTAGAAAAGCTTTTCTCAAACTTTGGTTATTGTGTTCTGCCTACCTATGGTTTGATAGCTAAATAGCTGTACCAGCATACGCTACCATTTGAATATCTGCACATCCCTCCGTGTTTGGAACAATTATGAAAACCAAGGAGGCACACTTTTCTTGTCTTTCTTTGTTTGGTACTGTCATTTCATTAAGCCACCATTTAATAAAGGTTCCTTAATGACCAACATGGTCAACATGTGAACATTATTGTTCAATGATTAGATCAATGTTGTCTTTCAAACAATTGTTTGTTGCCACTACAATAAGCATATCTGCACACATCCCACCCTTTTGTGAATTTGTTAGGGTCCTAGCTATAGGCATTTGTCTACTTTTCCAGTACATTCAAAACTGAGCGCTAAGCTCTCCAATCTATTGGGCAACCCAGCTGGGCATTGCTACTTTGCCAAAGTTGCCCACTATGTTGAGCTGTCCCCCAGAATCCAGCACACTTTGCAAAGTGGCAACAGAGCCTTGGGCAGGAATGTTTTGCCCAGCTCTATGCAGAGAAACAGTCCTATCACTAACCTCTGAACTCAGGGCATTTACCTTTACAAAGTAGCTGACCTAGGGGAGATAAACATATTAATCTGGTCCTGATTGCTAATGTTGATCAGGTGTGTGCCTTACAAAGCACTACCGCATGAGGCTTTACCATATGGATTACTATCAATAAAATGACTTAAACATATGAGACACGTTCAAAATGTTCAAGCATAGGATTGTTTGAATCAAATGCATATACAGAATGGCATAATTTCGATGCAAAATTATGCAAATGTGGCCATCTGTATCACAACAAGATTTTCAAAACAGCAATAACAGTATTGTCAGATGCTTCTTAAGCAATTGGCAAAACACAGATTGACACAATGCCAGTGGCAGTACACTGTGTATATTTGGAAGAAGAAGGCAGATGGCGTACTTGTAACCAAATCATTCAACAGGGTAGATACATGCTAGCAGAGTAATATATCATGCACAAACAAGAAAAGGGTCACTGGGTTGCATATTTTGTTTTGTAGCTTTATTAACTAAGCAAGGACACAGTCATAAACTTCTTATAGATGCTGTTGTAGTGCCTTAGTCATCATTGCTTCATGATTTTTAAAAATTATATTTGTCTAAATTAATTATTTGGGTAATAAACTTTTTGGAAACAAAGAAAAATCTTTTACTTTTTAAAGTGAAATGTGCATCTACAGTTTATTTACTGTATTGTATATGCAAGATTTCACCTAAATTCCAGGCCCTCCTTTGCATGGCAACAGATAAATGGAGGATGTCATCTACAACACACTACACATTGTTTAGAAGGAGAATGTCAACTATATTACTGGATCAATTCACCCCTACGTAATATTTCAGTTTACAGTACAGTATATGCTGGAATATAAACCACTAACCAATTTCTTATATCTGTCAGGGCAGCTATATTATAATCTCTGCCCTTGAGGTCTACACACCTGCTGTGACCAAAACAAGACACTTGCTGTTAGATTTTTTTTTTTATACTAGGTGTAGTACCTGAAATGTATTTAGCTAATTTGAAAGTTCCATTGGACTTTAGGTAAAAAATCTCACATGATGGATGTTAAAAGAACCAGAAACTAAGGAAGTCAAATTATAGCACTGGATGTATCAACAGTTAGCTAGCTAGCTGGCTTAGTCTATCAAATTTTACCTGTAAATAAAATACCTTTTTAAATTCAGCACAATTGATATAAGCTGAAATAATATTATTATTATTAATATTATTATTAGTCATTGATATTGCTTAAAGCCCGACACCAGCAAAACTATTATCTTGGTTTAGGATACGGGAAGGGTTATAACCTCTGTACAATCTTTATTGCGATCTATGTCCCCATTGGGGACACTTCCTGTTCTTTATAAAATTCTGTTTGCTGCTCCTATTTCTGGACAGATTTCTCATAACAATTCATAATGGTAATTGTGGAGTAAGCATGACATGTACATACAGATTGTTTTTTATTCCTGGAAGCTAAATATTTAAAGATAACCTGTCACATAAGCAAAAAATGGAAAGCTGCTAGCAGATAGCTGCAGAAGTTTTTATTGCCCTCTGCTATGCCCAAATGGCAGGCTGCTCTAATCAGGCAACTCTTCCACGTAGTTTGTTTAGCTTGCCTATCCCTCCCTCCTCACATTTCTGCCCACTGCTATAAGGGGCAACCTTGTTGGCCAATAGAAATATGTGTAATGCAGGGGCAGGCTGCCTGTTACTGACACAGGTATGTCCTCTCAGAATGGCCCATAGAGGGCAATGATAGCTGCTTCAAGTATGGGCAGACACATTTAGCCCCGTGCGCGATTTCTCTTTCTGTCGCAAGCTCTCTCGCTCTCTCTCGCTTTTTGTGTACAACAACTAATACTTATATTTACTTGGGAATCTGTCTGTTTCCTTTTTTATTTAGGCGGTATGCTGCTTATGTGAGCTCCAAAGCATAGCAGCCATTATACACATTTAAAGCGAGTCTGCAATAAATCTTAAATAAGAGGTAGAAATTATTATTTCTCTAGAGGAGATCTAATATGCAGGCCCTGCTGCAATTCTTAGTAAAAAAGAAACATACATTGTATATAACCTGTTACTAAGTAAGTCTACTGGTACCTTTTCATCCTGTCTTAAGTTCTCCTTTTACCAGCTGACCACAGAGAGATGTTTTGTCCTGCACCTTCCATTTTCCCTGTACTAGAGTGCCTTTGACCCAATTATATCTTTTGTTCTCAACTCAAATGAAAATAGAACATACTGACATAAACCTTAGGGATTTTGTTATCACAGCCTAACAATAAGCATGTATTGCCTTTTTTATATGACCCTCCTTAGAGAGTTTATCTACAAAAATGCAATTATCTTTTTTACACATTCCTAAATTACTTTGGCCTTAGCCGCTGTGTCACTGGGACAAGCAGCTACTAGTCTCTAAACACCAATTGGTTCTCATTTGCAGCATTAAATGACTTTTAAAACTAAGTTTAACACTATATATATATACACACACTTTGTTAAAGGTAATAAAGGTGTATTTGTGGCGCATACTAAAGCTTTTTGAAGTTTTTTTTTACACTGTAGTTGCTAGATCTATAATTTAATCCCAGTTTATGGTAATTATTACTGGTCTAAAAGTGGCATTTACAGTATAGGCAGAGAGTTAGATTCACAGGTAAGTCGCAAAGATTAAAATAAAATTACTGGTATCCAAGGTAGATAAGATAATCCTACATTTAAACAGACGATGTACAGTACCTTCAGTGCTAGCCTAGCTAAAATCATAGCTAAAATAAAAAATAAAGGTTACGGAACTAAGTAAATTTTTTGGGCAAGAACCTAAAGTATACCCAGTCACTAAAATCTTTTATGAGCATTAACATGTTTAAGTTATTGGAAGTCCTTTTAAATTGTAAATCTGCAGTTGACGTTAACATTTTACCTGGTGATCCTGCCACATAGGTCCTTGTTCAGGCACGTCCTGTTATAGGGTGACAATGCTATGTCGCTGTCTCCCATTTTTGCTCCTGTGTTGTAGCCCCATCACATGGGGTTTAATTAGAGACTACAAGTCGCTAATTTAAGTCACATCATGCAGGCATTGTCCACTGTCAGAAAACCCTCTTTGACAAATGCCAAGCAATCATTACTGGTGTGCATGCATGCAGACATGAAGCAGCTGCAGAAGATTGGCAGCACTGAGATGGAAAAAAAGCATGGCAAACAAGGTGAAAACAGTATTTTATTAAATACAACATAGTAGTTATTAATCATATACACAGTATAAGAGCAAACTACATGTCATTTAGTTAGGGTTTACATCTACTTTACCAAGTCCAAGCAGAAATATCTGGAAAGAGATCTGATATTCTCTTCAGATACACTGCCTGGTCAAAAAAATCACCACCTGGATGGTGTTATGATCTGGGGTTGCTTCAGTTGGTCAGGTCTAGGTTCAGCAATGGTATGTCCCAAAAAATTAGGTCAGATGGCTACCCGAATATGCTGAATGACAAGGTTTTTCCATCAATTGATTTTTGCTTCCCTGATGGCACAGGCATATTCCAAGTTGACAAGCTTATGATTCTTTGGGCTCAAATTGTAAGAATGTGTCAGGGAGCATGAGGCATAATTTTAACACATGGATTGCCCACCACAGAGTCCAGACCTTAAAGGAGAACTATGGGGTTAAGGCTTTCCCCCATAGTTCTCTTTAGGGTAATGGGCGGGCAGAGCCAGCTGTACCC